TTGGTCAATCTGGTCCCTTTAAGTATCATTCAAATATCTTATAAGATACCACTCACTGATTGCATCACACCTGTCATATGGGTTAATATGCTGGGGACACGCTCCGTGTGGTGGACGATTGTTTGGTCTGCAACGCAAGGTTCTGAGAATAATGACAGGAATGTGTAAAAAAATATTTTTCGGAATTTTAATTTTAACCCTACCTTCCATGTTTGTATATGTTAGTTTATTGCACGGTTATGACAATATAAACTCCTACAATACCATAAAAAATATTCATGGGTATCAAACTAGGCACTCTAAAAACATAAGAACTGAATTTTCGAGAATTTGCGCCAGCAGAAATGGTTCAAATTTTTTTCTTGGGCCAATGGTTTGATTACCTTATTGGTGACATCCACCTTTTTCTTATCTCTTCTACTTTCCCAGAGATAATTTATTTTTTCAAGTTGTTCTTCTTTACAATCTGAGAAGGCGATGTGAAAAGATTGCATATATGCAATCTATATATAGTCTGGTATTTATCCAAAACAATTGCAATATGTAAAAAAATAGAATACAGGAGATTTAACTAGTCTTATTTTAGTCCCAGATATATTGCGGTGCTTGCAGATCTTGTCTAGTTTTCTTATTACCACTTCGTAGCTTCCTTATTTATCTATGACAAAACCCAAGAAGGTATATTGGTTGGCAATTTCTGCATTGCTTAAAAATCCAGTTAATTGCAGAGCTTTGTTTCTGTAAACAACCATTGCTTTAGTTTTCTGCCAGTTAATTTTTAATCCTATATGTGCTCCCTTTTTTATTTTAGCCGGTAAAGTAATTTTTTCGTGTTCCGTAATTATAGATGTACTATCTGCAAATCTAAAATAAGATATATTTTTCCCGTCATGCAGATTCCGCGTTGCCAATTTTCTGTAACTTTCCTTAGGATACATTCTCCAAAGATGTTAAATAATTTAGGTGATAGAAAGCATCCCTGACATATTCCATTAAATGTATTGAAACTTCCTGATTTTATATTATCGATTCAGACTACTGAATAATTGTTATCATATATATAGCCTATAGGCTAAAATCCTATTAGAATATGTTTAGGTACTCACATTTCAAGTTAAGGCTGCGTTTTATCAAATGTCAAACACGGTAATTTGAAAATACGTTTAGCCCAAAAGTGAAAATTTTACATTTTATGTTTCTAGGAGGTCAAGCGATAATTTTAAGCCCAAACTAAAACTAGGTCATAGGTCTTCTGTTCGATGAAATTTTATTTAAAAAAATACCCGATTTTTAGGTTTTTTTGTTTATCATCTAAGGTAACTAAAATCATTATAAAAAAAAATTAATTTATCATGGTCGTACTCCTCAAAACTATATATTGATGTTAATAATTTTTATTTAAAATATGTGTTTTTTAACTTGCAAACAATGGATTTACCTTAAAAATAAATTTTATTAAAACTAATCAAAACTTGATTAAACTTTGGTAAAACTAAACATAAATAATTTAAGATTTACCAAAAGTAATCTAAACCTTTTATGATTATTTACCAAACGTTGGATTTGAAAAGTGTCCAATTAGGTAACATTTAGGTAACTTTGTTGACATGGCAACCAAACTATTATTTTTTAGGATTTACTAAATAGAAACATTTAAGTTGTTTAAGTTATTTGTAATTTTTCTAAAATGCCATGGAAAAGAAAAACACACAAAGAAAATCGTTCAAGGATTTGTTTAATATGTTTTTGCAAGACCAAAGGCATGTTTAAGATAAATGTATACTCTTTGGCCAGAATATGACTCACAGGATAATAATAATAATAATATTTATTTTTTTTTTAAAATATCTACAAAGTATTTCAATCATCTATTCATCATCATGCATTTAATTAATTAATTACAGGTCTAAAAACAATTTGAAAATTTCTTTTTTGCATGTATTTTAATTATATATATTTTTTAAATATATCGGGAGTTAATTATAGTATTTTTATATTATTATATATTTAAATTATTAAAATACATTTATATAGCACACTATTTTCAGTTAATGTTTTTGGGTGGTAAGGCTAGTTATAATTCATAGTCCATGTACAGTAATTATGACTTGGTTAGTATTCTAAAAATAAATATAAAATGTTTGTGGTCACACCAAAACAAAAGACATTCATATAGGTATATATATATATTTATGTGTAGGGCACTGGCAGTGAGAAAGTTATGTTCTCATAACAGTCCCTTGCATGATTGTTTAACATTTCTTTTGTATAAAATGCGCATCACTCGCTTCTCCATGACAAACATCTTTTCAAGGACGGATGTATTTGAACCCAAAAAAATTATTCCAAATCTTATAATTGATACAAAATTTGCATGATAGATTGTTCTCAATGATAGTTCATAGTTCATGTATTAAAAAAAAAACTTCTACCTATACAATGTGATTTGGATCCCAGTCTCGTGGTAAGATGATAGTTTATAGTTCATGTATTAAAAAAAAAACTTGTACCTATACAATGTGATTTGGATCCCAGTCTCCTGGTAAGATATTTTATATGTACATAAAGAGATTTATTTTGCAGATGCAGAGGGTATGTCATATAAATCTAATATTTTACAAGTACCTACAACTAGGAGTACCGCATGACGGTATTGGTCCTGTATTATTCAAATTATGCCGATGATACAAACCGTAGTATTTGATAGATATTACCCAGAATTGCTAAAAGCGGTAGATTATTCTCAGTGGTTTAAAAATGGTTTTCCGAAAACAATATTATCATAAATTCGAAAAAAAAAACAATGTAATACTTTTTAAATACAAACACTGTCTTTTTGAAACACCCAAAAATGTACAACTGAATACTGTACACAGTACAATATACGTCAAATTCAAAATTTTTAGGTACATACATTGATTGAAACATATAAAATATCTTACCAGGAGACTGGGATCCAAATCACATTGTATAGGTACAAGTTTTTTTTTTAATACATGAACTATGAACTATCATCTTACCAGGAGACTGGGATCCAAATCACATTGTATAGGTAGATTTTTTTTTTTTAATACATGAACTATGAACTATCATTGAGAACAATCTATCATGCAAATTTTGTATCAATTATAAGATTTGGAATAATTTTTTTGGGTTCAAATACATCCGTCCTTGAAAAGATGTTTGTCATGCAGAAGCGAGTGATGCGCATTTTATACAAAAGAAATGTGAAACAATCATGCAAGGGACTGTTATGAGAACATAACTTTCTCACTGCCAGTGCCCTACACATAAATATATATATACCTATATGAATGTCTTTTGTTTTGGTGTGACCACAAACATTTTATATTTATTTTTAGAATACTAACCAAGTCATAATTACTGTACATGGACTATGAATTATAACTAGCCTTACCACACAAAAACATTATTTGAAAATAGTGTGCTATATAAATGTATTTTAATAATTTAAATATATAATAATATAAAAATAATTAATTAAATTCATGATGATGAATAGATGATTGAAATACTTTGTAGATATTTTATAGAAAAAATAAATATTATTATTATTATTATCCTGTGAGTCATATTCTGGCCAAAGAGTATACATTTATCTTAAACATGCTTTTGGTCTTGCAAAAACATATTAAACAAATCCTTGAACGAGTTTCTTTGTGTGTTTTTCTTTTCCATGGCATTTTAGAAAAATTACAAATAACTTAAACAACTTAACTATGATTTCGCGAAAGAATCGAACGATCGATTTACAACACATCTCAGATTTTTTTTTAATTTTAATATTTTGTTTATACATCCAATTTAACACTAAATCTAAAATTTTTCTTTCATCTGACTTAAACTTTAGCTCCTAGAAACCATTTAATTTTGCCTTTCACAAAAAGGCCAAATTCCATTATTTTGGCATACATTTTTTATTAAAATACTGAATGATTTGAAATTTGGCCCATATATGACCCCTATTAGTACCTACAATTCTGTCAAAAAAAAGTTTTAATTTTTTACATACAGGTGGCGCTGCAATTTTTTTTTATTCGAAAATAGACGTTTTTTGAAGACCAAAAATTCTCTTAAGCAACAATGCTCAAAAAAACTAAATAGCGTACCAGATAATATAGATATTCCTTTATAATTCGACATATAAAAATTTACTTGCAAATGATGTTGCCGCCCGTAAATCCAACTTAAAGTTTGGTCTACCGCATTAAAAAAAATTGAATTACACTTTCAACTCTATCCTTATTTATAAACTAAGGAACTCCAGGTGATGGCTTTTATTGGTAACTAAAACGCAACAAAAAAAAGTTTTATTTTTTTATATACAGGGGGCGCTGCAGCCTTTTTTTCAAAAATAGACGTTTATAAGGACCATAAACTTACTTAAGCAAAATTGCTTAAAAAACTAATGACATTATTTATAATGTATCAAATAATATAGATATTCTTTTATTGTTTGACATATAACAATTTATTTGCAATAATTAATGCCTGTTGTAGGGACGATTAAAATTATAACTAGTGCACGTACCCGCATATTGTTATATAAACGCCTTTTTTCGCTTTTATTGTTGTATGCGGACAAAAGGTAACAAAACCAAAGAAATTTTAATTACAAATGGTAACAAGTATTTCAGTGACTCTATAGTAATAGTAATAGTAATATGACCATTTGTTTAAATATATTTTAGTATATTTCGAGAGGCAAAGCATTCTTTATTATCGTACTTTAAAATTAAACTAAAGTCAAGCCTAAAGGCTGGGAATCAAGTTATCCCAACAGTTGACAGTTACTGTCAAACGGTAACCATAATAACATTTAAAATTTTGACGTTATTACAAAAGTGACTTAAATTGTATCGTGCCGATTATTTTAAGTTATATTTTAAGTATTGTTTCGTTCCATTGTTATTTTTAGTTATTTTAGTGTTAGTTTAGTTGTGGTTATTAGTTTTATAGTTAGTTTAAAGTTAAATAACATGAGTGAATATAAACAATGTCAACTTTTAAACTCCACCTGTGGACCATACAAACCAAGAAACGAACATGGCATATTTCTTTTAAGTTCCCTTACTGAGGATGTTAGTTCTCTTTGTGGATCTACGAATGTCCTAACGGAGATGGAATTGATTTGTGACCGATCTACACAACCATTGGATTCCAATAAGTATATTTGTGCCTTTCATAAATATTCCCTTGGGAATAATTGGCGATCTCCTTCTATTTGTAAGTCCCCGATTCATGAAGAAAATATAAAAAATAGTAAAGTAATTAAAGTTTCGTACAATAAGCTATACGAAATTAAACAAAAGTTTTCAAATTTTTATTTTCCAATAAATTCTAAAATATGTAGAAAATGTTACCAAATCCTTGTTTTTGACAAAAATATCATATACGAAGCTGAAAATCAATCCATTGAAGATAAAGATATAGACTGGGTACCTCCTGTATTAATTTTCGATGAAGACAATGCTAAAAACCTCAAAGAAAAACTTGACAAATTAACCAATTTATTAGGTATGGAGCGAATAAAATTTCAAATTAATTCAGGCATTGAAAGTATATCCGATAGCACAGTATGGTATTTTAAAAATTATCTAGACCAACTTATTGATACAACACGAAACCTTTTTTTTGACTGTGTGGCCCCAGGACAATCCGACTTTTTAAAAGAAAAATTGACTAAACCCGAAAAGAACGAACATATTCCATCTGAGCTAGAGCATTTAGTTAAATGCTATAAATCTTGTGTAACTAATGAATCAAAGATTTCTTTACTGGCTTTGGTACCTACAAGTTACAGAAAAGAATATATTGCTAATATTTTTGGTACTAATTTGTATAAAATAACCGAGGCTAGACGGCGTCTATCAGACGTTAGTTCTTTTACTAAAATGAAACCAAAAGTTTTAAATCGCTTCAGAATAAATAGCGAACAAGTATCTCACTTTATTGAGTGGTTATTTACCAGTGGGCTTTTAAAAGAAGAAGCCTACGGTACCACCAATTTGAAATTTGAAAGTGGTGAAAAAATGTTAATTACAAATACAATTTTGGATGGTGTTCACGAACATGTATGTCGTGAATATTTAATATATTGTTCAGAGGTTGGGTATTCTTGTTTGGGCAAAACATCTTTGAAAAATATTTTAAAGGCAATTAAACCTAAAACTCGCCAACGAGTTGCCGGAGTTGACAGTTTTGTTGTAGAAGGTTATGCTGCCTTTGAGGTACAATAGTCCATTTGATTGAATGGCTTTATTATTATTTGTTTTTTTAGGATCTACATCAGTGCATTAATATTCTCACAGATGAAGGAATAAAAAAGAAGGCGCATGAGCAAGTAGACAACGGAAAAAACTATTTTAAAACACGCTACCACTTTCATTGCACAATAGATAATGGTTGTGCGTCACATTGCATAAGCCATGCACTATCGCATCCTCAAGAGAATAAGCTCCAAAAACTTTGCAAAGTACCCCATTCCAATATTTGTCCGGAATGTTATGATATATTAAATACAGTTAACATTATTGAAAACAATATAAGCCTTTTAAAGGATTCTCATGAAAAAGACACAACAATGTTTAAGTTTTTACATGCTAAACAAAAGATTTTTGACTGGCAAAACCATATTATAAGAGCTGCCCAACAAGGTAAAGCTAGAACGACTGTTATGGATATTCTTGAGTCAAGACAAGCTTTGTGGATCCGGGACTGGGCAGAAAAAATTTTGCCATCTAGGGTTGAGTTATTTTACTGTTTTACATGTATGTTCACAAATTAATTTTAATACATTTTAGAACCTGGAAAGTATGACTGAATATTTCGGAAAACGAGGTTTTAGTTTATCTGTGGAAGTATTTTTAATTAAAAATGAGGAAAAGTGGCAAAAATTTGTTTATTTTGTGGCACTAGATCGTTGTGAACAGGAATTATTGGACTGCCTATCTATAGCAGATATTGTTCTACAGCAATTTAGTCATGACAATCCTTTAATTAAGCAATTACACCTTAAATCAGACAACGCTGGTAGGATAATATTCAATAGTTATTTTAAAATATTTAACTTTTTTTTAAAATTAGGATGCTATCATGCTAATGGCACAGCAGAAGGAATATACAATATATGCCAAAAATATCACATACAACTTCTGGATATACATTTTAACGAGGCACAAAAGGTATTATTGTAGACAATTTTTTATTATTTATTTAACAATTTTTTTTTTTAAATGTTTAGGGGAAAGATCAGGCCGATAGAGAAACTGCCTATTTTAAAAGAAACGTTGATCTATATATAAATAGCAATCAAAATAATAAAGTAACAAATGCGGCTGAATTAATTAATGCAGCTATGTTTAATGGGGGTCCCAAAAATAGTAAAATGTGTGTCATAGAAATTGATAAAAATCTTACAAAATTAAAAAAAAATTTATCCATTCCAAATATTAGTAATTACCACTCAATAATATTTCAAACAGGAGGTGCTGTATATTATGAATATTTTGAAATTGGAGAGGGAAAATATCATGCTTTTAAAGGTACGCAAAGTTAATAAATTTTCTTTAAGTAAATCAAAATTCTAGGAATTGAATTTTCTTCTGGAGTAAACATGAAAGTTCCTTGGACATCATCGAGTCGACAAAAGGAAAATCTAAATAATTTTAAAGCAATTAAATATAGGTGCGACGAATTACTTTGCAGTAGGGTTTTTGAAAATGAAGATGATCTTCTAAACCACCTTAAATTTCAAAATCATAAATTTCCCGAAATTAGACAAACTATAGGTGATGTTGCTAGAATGGAATTTTTAAAACAAAAAGATGTTTTAACTGCAACTACTTCAACAATATCTACCGTTAATATATGCCCAAATGAAGAAGATAAAAATACGTTTTTTCAAGTTTATGCAAAAGGGTTCGGAAGGCGCAAAATTAAAAAATCACGTTTTAATGAAAAACAAAAAGATTTTGTTGGCAACCTTTTTGAAGAAGGTGAAAAAACTAAAATTAAATATACGCCTGAATATATAGCAACAGCTTTACAAAATTATGAAGTAAATGGCAAATTTTATTTTTCTTCAAACGAGTATATGCATCCTAATCAGATACGCGGCTTATTATCAAGATTATCGTCAGATAGAAGGTTAAGCAAAAATAGAAAAAGAAAATTAAAAAATTTGCCGGAAGAAATTGAAGAAATTAGCCCAGAAGCGGATGAAGTTTTTTTTGAAGTTTTATCAGTTTTAAAGTAGTTCCTTTGCGGCCTAAGTAACTTTTAAGTTATAAATAACCCTGGTTAAAATCTCTAGACTGATTCTGTGAATCGCTCTAGAGATTTGAACCAGCCGGTATGATATAAACCAGGGTTATTTATAACTAAAAAGTTAGCGAATATACCCCTTAGAGCCCAACAAGTTTAAAATTTAATGTAAAGGTAATAATTTTTATTATTATAATAATTATTAGGATATATCTTTATTATTTAATATATGCAAAACTTACAGCTAAATTGTTATATGTTAAATAATAAAGAAATAGTAATATCAATAATAATAATAAAGAAAAACAAAATAAATAAAATAAAGAACAAACCTATTAAATAAATAAAGGAATACGTAACTTTTTATAATAAAGGAATACATAACAATATTATCTGAAATGCTATGTAGTTTTTAAAGAAATAAGGCTGCAGCGCACCCTGGGTGTGAAAAAATAAAACTTTTTTTTGCTGTGTTAATGTTACAAATAAAAGTAATCTCCTGGAATTCCTTAGTTAATAAATAAGAATAAAGTTGTAAGTGTAATTCAATTTTTTTTAATGCGGTAAACAAAACTTTAAGTTGGCTTTACGGGCGGCAACATCATTTGCAAGTAAATTTTTATATATCAAATTATAAAGGAATATGTATATTATCTGGTATACTATTTAGTTTTTTTGAGCATTGTTGCTTAAGAGAGTTTTTGGTCTTCAAAAAACGTCTATTTTTGAAGAAGAAAAAATTGCAGCGCCACCTATATGTAAAAAATTTAATTTTTTTTTTGTAGAATTGTAGGTACTAATAAGGGTCATTTATGGACCACATCTCAAAACATTCAGTATTTTAATAAAAAAATTATGCTAATATAATGAAATTATGGCTTTTTGCGAAAGGTAAAATTAAATGGTCTCTGGGAGCCAAAGTTTAGGTCAGATAAAAGAAAAATTTTAGATTTAGGGTGGAATTAGATGTATAAACACAATATTAAAATATAAAAAAAATCTGAGATGTGTTATAAAAAAATACCCCAAAATCGTTCGATTCTTTCGCGAAATCATAGTTAAATGTTTCTATTTAGTAAATCCTAAAAAATAATAGTTTGGTTGCCATGTCAACAAAGTTACCTAAATGTTACCTAATTGGACACTTTTCAAATCCAACGTTTGGTAAATAATATTTATTTTTTCAATAAAATATCTACCAAGTATTTCAATCATCTATTCATCATCATGCATTTAATTAATTAATTACAGGTCTAAAAACAATTTGAAAATTTTTTTTTTGCATTTATTTTAATTATATATATTTTTTAAATATATCGGGAGTTAATTATAGTATTTTTATATTTATTTAAATTATTAAAATACATTTATATAGCACACTATTTTCAGTTAATGTTTTTGTGTGGTAAGGCTAGTTATAATTCATAGTCCATGTACAGTAATTATGACTTGGTTAGTATTCTAAAAATAAATATAAAATGTTTGTGGTCACACCAAAACAAAAGACATTCATATATGTATGTGTAGGGCACTGGCAGTGAGAAAGTTATGTTCTCATAACAGTCCCTTGCATGATTGTTTAACATGTCTTTTGTATAAAATGCGCATCACTCGCTTCTGCATGACAAACATCTTTTCAAGAACGGATGTATTTGAACCCAAAAAAATTATTCCAAATCTTATAATTGATACAAAATTTGCATGATAGATTGTTCTCAATTATAGTTCATAGTTCATGTATTAAAAAAAAAAAATCTACCTATACAATGTGATTTGGATCCCAGTCTCCTGGTAAGATGATAGTTCATAGTTCATGTATTAAAAAAAAAAACTTGTACCTATACAATGTGATTTGGATCCCAGTCTCCTGGTAAGATATTTTATATGTTTCAATCAATGTATGTACCTAAAAATTTTGAATTTGACGTATATTGTACTGTGTACAGTATTCAGTTGTACATTTTTGGGTGTTTCAAAAAGACAGTGTTTGTATTTAAAAAGTATTACATTGTTTTTTTTTCGAATTTATGATAATATTGTTTTCGGAAAACCATTTTTAAACCACTGAGAATAATCTACCGCTTTTAGCAATTCTGGGTAATATCTATCAAATACTACGGTTTGTATCATCGGCATAATTTGAATAATACAGAACCAATACCGTCATGCGGTACTCCTAGTTGTAGGTACTTGTAAAATATTAGATTTATATGACATACCCTCTGCATCTGCAAAATAAATCTCTTTATGTATATATATATATATATATATATGTACTTATAAATAAATAAAAAAAAGTTTACAGTCTCAGGTTGACAAAATTAAAGTTATTTTACATAAAAAATAATATAAATATGGCATATGATATTTTTTTGTATTTTATTTGAAAATATTTGAAATTTTTTATTAGTGTTATTTTTAATTGCTGATATCTTTGAAACGGTTCACTTGAAGAACTTTGACCTTTAGATGTTTTTTGTAGGGCGTGAAAATGTCTATAACTCCTCTCGCTTGGGTGTTGCGAAAACAAACCATTCAAAAATTATAAGAATTCAAAATTTAAAAAATAAAAATTCCCGTGTTATTGAAATGGAAAAACAACAAATGAATTGAGGCAAACCTTAATATTAATATTAAGGGCTCAAATATGCGCCAAAATTTTTGTTTTTTAATGTACTATTAATTTTTCAACACCATTAGAAAAAAAAATTATTTTAATTTTTTTGAAACACCCTAATATACATACATGTATTAATGGTTTTCCGGGATCTGCTCCGTGTTGTCGGTTTTTGGTTCTTAAAAGAACCGTATGTCTGACGGTAAAATCTCATCTTCAGGTCTTATCTGCTGGGCTGCTGTTCCTGCTCTGCTGCGAGTTAGACGTGGAGTGAGCTCCTTTGCCGCTGATAGTTGTTTATATATATATATATATATATATATATATATATATATATATATATATATATATTAGACTGGTTCAAAAAAATCGAATATTTTTTTTTTCAAAGCCCGCATTGAAATATCTTCCTAGTAGTGAAAAAAGAAGCCTGTGAAAATTGTAGCTCTTAATATTAATATTTAGAGGTCGCTCATCGTGAATTTCTATTTTACGTTTAAATAACACAGGAATTCTTTTTTCTTAACTTTGAAATTTTATAACTCGTTTTTGAGTAAACATATTGAAATAAGCGACACATATTTTTAAAGAAAATTGAACGCTCTACAAAAAATGTCTCTTATAATTTTTTCATAAATTCACTTCTTTTATAGTTATTCAAGGTTGAAATTAGACATATAATAAATTTAACGTTTTTTTTCTTCAATTGGTGGCTAATAATAAACCTTATCACTCATTATTGTACAGGATGGTCCAGTTTGTAATACATTAATTTTAATAGGTGATAAAGCATAAAAATAAGGTAGACTTTCATAAAAAAACATTTCTTAAAAAAAATAGTTTTCTCTTCATAACTTTTAAACCACAAAATTAATTTGGCACACAGTGTAATATAGTCAGTGCCTTAATAATGATGTAGATAATTATTTAAAAAAAACATCAGTGCAGCAGTTACTTGGAGGGCTGCTCCCCTTTTCACCTCAGTCTTTGACGCCACTGGAAATTTTAAAATACTAAATAAATGTTTAGGCCAAGTTTTTAATTAAGGGAAAACATTTTCTCCTGTAAAATTTTGATGTGAGGCCTGGTTTCTAAAATATTTGCTCAAAAATGTTTTCTCGCAAAATTTCATTTTTAGATTGTCTGTTCAATTTATAGATAAAAAAACTACTGTGTTAAAATTTTAATTTAGGGCTTCGTTTTTGAAATATTTGGGAACACACTCCAAAAAAACTGCGGCAAAAGTATTCTTTGATAAATAAATAAATTATTTAAAAAATTAAGCACTAAATCAAAATTTTACATGAGTAGTTT